ACACACTCTGTCCGCTATCATCCCGATTGTTTCATCCACAGGTACGTTGGTAAACAGTGATTCTACGTCCAACGAGGCACTTATCCCTGTGGCCCGTGTTTCCCGCAGTAAGTCAACAAATTCCTTTGGAGACTTCAGGCTGAAGGTGCAAGGGACATAAGGAGTCAGCAAGCCGTTGAGTCATTTCGCCAGTCTGTACCTGGGTGTGGGTATCTGGCTGATGATTGGCTGAAGTGGGTTTCCAGGCTTATGTGTCTTGACATTTCCATATGCTTATCCAGGTTTATATTCCCCAATAATCTTTGGCAGGTGGAGTCTGGATTTCTTGGCGTTCACAGTTTCGATCAATTTGTTGACCTTTGCTTTCAATTCGGCTGTAGTGTCCTTCGTTACCCTTTGGAATTTAGTTTGGTCAGAGAGTATGAGTTTCATTTTCGCCAGATATTCGTCTTTTTTAAGAATGACGTATATTGGCGACTTGTCACCTCACCTGACAACTATTTCCTTGTTCTCACGAAGGCTCTTAGCTGCTGCTTTGAGCACGGGGGACACTTCTGGGGCTTTGCTTTCAATTCGGCTACAGCCGAATTGAAAGCAAAGGTCAACAAACTGATCGAAACTGTGAATGCTAAGAAATCCGGACTCCACCTGCCAAAGATTATTGGGGAATATAAACCTGGATATGCGTATGGAAATGTCAAGACACACAAGCCTGGAAACCCACTTCGGCCAATCATTAGCCAGATACCCACACCCACGTACAGACTGGCGAAGCGACTCAACGGCCTGCTGACTCCTTATGTCCCTTGCGCCTTCAGCCAGAAGTCTCCAAATGAATTTGTTGACTTACTGCGGGGCACACGGGCCACAGGGATAAGAGCCTCATTGGACGTAGAATCCCTGTTCACCAACGTACCTGTGGACGAGACAATCGGGATGATAGCCGACAGAGTGTATCGTGATCCGGCCTGCACTCCTCTTGACATACCAGAGAACATTCTGAGGAAACTACTCCAAGCTTGTACTAAAGAGGCACCCTTCTTGAGCCCGGATGGGCACATGTATAAGCAAGTAGATGGCGTCGCCATGGGTTCCCCCCTTAGTGTCCTGTTTGCAAACTTCTACATGGGTACCATCGAGCAAAAAGTCTTAGTCGAAATGAACTTGAAACCGGCCATATACTGCAGGTATGTTGACGACATTTTTACACAGGTAACTGATGTCAGACATCTGCAGGAGCTGAAGGAGGCATTTGAACAGAGTTCCGTGCTGCGTTTCACTTACGAGATGGAAAGGATGGGAAGCTGCCCTTTCTAGATGTAACAGTCATGGGAAAAGAGCGGAGGTTTCCACACTGCAGTCTACACTAAGGAAACGAACATAGGAATGTGCCTAAATGCCAACAGCGACTGCCCAGACAGGTACAAGAGGAGTGTTGTTAACACTTATGTCGACCATGCTCTCAACCACAGCTCGGAATTGAAGCAAGTCGACGAAGAACTCTGTAGGGTAAGGCAGGTCCTAGTCAACAACGGCTTCTCCAATGGATTCGTCGAAGACATCATAAGAAGGAAAGTGAAACGCCATGCAACCTCTGAAGAGACAACCAACACAACACCTATACCCCCTATTAGACTATTTTACAGGAACTTCTTTTCCACAGCTCATAAAACGGAGGAAAGGGTCCTGAAAGATATTGTTAATAGAAACGTTATCCCTACAGACAAAAATCAGAGGATACAACTGACGATTTACTATAAAACCAGAAAAACGGCCAGCCTACTCATGAGAAACTCTCCAGACACAAAGCAGAACGCTTTAAAAGAGACCAACGTCGTCTATGCCTTCAAATGCCCTCTTGGGGACTCTAAGCTCCAAAAAAAACAGTATATAGGCAAGACAACAACATCTCTTTCTAGGCGTTTAACGATGCATAAGCAACAGGGGCTCCATTAAGGAACATATAATCTCTTCCCACAACCAAACCATCGCCAGAGAAATCCTAGTAAACAACACAGAAATCATCGATAGATATAGCGATAGCAGGCGGCTTGACGTCTGCGAGGCTCTACACATCAAGAAGTCAACACCAGCAATCAACAGCCAATTAATGTACAACTATATTCTACCCACCTCAAGACTCCGCTCCAATATAGAAGCATCAAGAAATATGGACCAATAGGCTTTCTACAAATCACTTTCATTCAATACCCATTGTTTCGTGTTCTGTCTTGTGTTTAGGAATTTAATACCCTATTAATACCACCTCACCCCATCCACCTCACTCAAATGTAGATATAAACAAATCGAAGATGTGTAAGTTCTATTCAGTTGTGTATGTGTAAGCTAAAGTCTTTGAAAATGTAATAAGTTTTATGAAACACGCTCAAGTGTCGCGTCAGACTAGAAATAAAAATGAATTTTGGAGAATTGATTTTTGAATTACCACCAGCAGTGAAAAGAAACGTACGAAAGATCGAGAAAATTCGTGTTAGAATTATTAATCTTACTTTTTCGGTCATATTTAATAATATATATATATATATATATATATATATATATATATATATACTTAACTGTATACTTAAGTATATATATATATATATATACTTAACTTGAGTATAAAGTTAAGTATATGAAAGTTGTATACTTAACTGAGCGGTGGTGCAGAGGGTTAAGGCGTACCTGTTATGCCAGTTGCTGGAAGGCTTCTGTGCTGGCTAGGGTTCGAGTCTCCTGGTGGGAAAGTGTTCTAAAGTTGTATACTTAACTCTCGTGTTTAGGAGAGTTGTGCCTTAAGCAGAGACACTGTGTCTTCCCATATTAACAGGGACTTGATGAAATTAACGTCTAAATAACCCCTCACTTGCTCTGGTGCTCTTGGGAGGTGTTGATCTTTGGGGGATTTAAATACTCCGAAATTACCATCTCTTTTAAGGGTCTGAGCGGTGGTGCAGAGGGTTAAGGCGTACCTGTTATGCCAGTTGCTGGAAGGCTTCTGTGCTGGCTAGGGTTCGAGTCTCCTGGTGGGAAAGTGTTCTAAAGTTGTATACTTAACTCTCGTGTTTAGGAGAGTTGTGCCTTAAGCAGAGACACTGTGTCTTCCCATATTAACAGGGACTTGATGAAATTAACGTCTAAATAACCCCTCACTTGCTCTGGTGCTCTTGGGAGGTGTTGATCTTTGGGGGATTTAAATACTCCGAAATTACCATCTCTTTTAAGGGTCTGAGCGGTGGTGCAGAGGGTTAAGGCGTACCTGTTATGCCAGTTGCTGGAAGGCTTCTGTGCTGGCTAGGGTTCGAGTCTCCTGGTGGGAAAGTGTTCTAAAGTTGTATATATATATATATATATATATATATATCACATAAGGACTCACACCTCTTTGAATGGCTCAAACTTTGGAAGGCCAGGTGGTCACGCACCTTGACACAAACAATACTCTACATCTAGACCACGGAAAATCGTTAAAAGAGGTTGAAAGCTGGGAGTATTTCCCCCTAAAAAATCAACCTCTCAACTACACTAGTCATGGCAAGAGATCAGAATTAATTTTCATTTATCCCTTACATTACCAGGGAGAACACGAGCTTCATATATACACGGTAAGCTTGCTTAAACTCACAAGTGAAAGGTAACACACAAGCGCTAACATCCCTATGAAGAGCTCGAACCTTGGAAGGTGAGGTGTTCGCGCACCTTGATACAACCAGTACTCTACCCGTAGACTTTCCTGAGACTTTTACTGAAACCGGAACAGGTTTTCACACAATACCCCCCCCCCCTCCCATGCACCCTGGCTCTGTTATTCAGGAATGTTCTACCTTTGACGCTCCTTTTTCAATAGGAGCGTTATTGGCCGAATGGCTGTGCATATTAATGGATTCAGGCATTGTATATACTAGCTCTATCTATAAATGCAACATTATGTGTGTAACTCATTTTCAAAAAAATTACCTGATTAAACATTTTATCACATCTTAATACACAGAGAGTAATTACACTAACATGATGTGTCAAGGAGAAAAACAATATGATAACATTCCTATTTTGAATGAACAGCATGTTAAATTTGACGAATGCGTATTTGGGGTCGACCACTCGATAGAATGGACTTGGTGTGAGGACGAGTTGCATGTGTTAACGATTTTCCTTCATAGACATTGTGTTTGGCAAGTGAACGAAATGGACTTTGGCCTTAGTTTATAAAGATGGGAGGAGATCATCTCGCCTTTAACTCAATATTTTAGAAAGTGTCTCTAAATAAAAATTGAAATTAAATTATTAAATAATTATTATTTAATGATAACTATATATATATTAATAAAAAAAATTATTAATAAATTTAAACCCGAATTGAACAGCTCAGAGTTGTCGACTCAGTTGTATATTCATCAATTGTCATGTTCTCTAAAGTATGTGTTGAATTGTTTTATTATTCTAGTTTTGTGTAAATAATTTTTCTTTTTCTTAAATGTAGTTTTCTTTTAAGTTTTTTAACATAAATTCTAGTGACAATGTCAGACCACGGAGGAAAAATGAAACAGGAAATTTCCTTAAGTACTTTCGTATATTAAATACATCTTCAGAAGGTCCTTCAGAAGGTTCAGAAGGACCTTCTGAAGATGTATTTAATATACGAAAGTACTTAAGGAAATTTCCTGTTTCATTTTTCCTCCGTGGTCTGACATTGTCACATTCTTAATCACGTGTTTATTTTCGTGATATACACACATAAATTCTAGTGAATAAATATTGATACATATTTATTGTTTTTAGCTAAACTAGCGTTGTAAATATTTTCATTTTAGCATCAATGATTAGTTTGGAACTCCATCATGATATATGTATATATATATAGAGAGAGAGAGAGAGAGAGAGAGAGAGAGAGAGAGAGAGAGAGAGAGAGAGAGAGCGAGAGAGAGAGAGAGAGAGGGTATATTGATTTATGTATCTAATTATATACTTATATATATCGATATATTTTATAATTACTGCAGGTAACTTTTGTGAACGGCCTTAAAGAATCTAAGTCAAGGACAAACATTCGTGAAGTGATTATCCCAAACTCAGACATTTTCTCCCAATTCCCCAACAAGTTTAACTCAAGTTCATACGACACCTTCGTGACAATCTTGCCTCTGGTACCCAAGTACTGTGGAGACGCCCTTCGCTCTCCGGAGATCCAACGTCTCCAAGACGAGACGTTTGACGTGGTAATGTTAAGTGTGGTCTTCACTGATTGCTTCTATCCATTTCTGCACAAGTTACAGGTATGTTGGTTCGTGTGATATTTTTGTGAGCTATTACAATAAAAAGTTGTCTCCTTAATTCTTTTGAAGTTGAAAGCAAACTCTCCAAATTCAAATTTTCCTTTTTTATTTGGGCTGACTCTAAAAGATGCACTTCGTTAACTTTTGTTAACATTATCAAAGGCAGAGTTTGAATGGTTACAATGTTTCTTTTTGCCGAATGAGGATGAGGTGTAGGTGAAATTATCGGCTTACTTATGGGCCGATGAGTCCATTGTATGTTACCATTCTCTTGTTTGCATGATTGCTGGGAGCATGTTGTATGTTGTTCTGGAAGTTGGCAGAGTATAATTTGGTACAAGTTGGTTATTGAAACAGGTGAGAGGTTCGCCTCCAGTAGTGGGACCCGGCGTTTCGGATCCAGGATCTTCTGTTGGTCCGAATTTGTTACCACGATAACCGTGGCCTCGTTACCATGCATATGGACGGCAACTAGTCCCGCAGATGTTGCCTTGTCGATGGCTGCTGCAATTTCGCGCTCAGAGCGCTTGAAGACTCCGAGGAGTTGCACTTTCATTTTGTATGTCATTTTCTCTGGCAACGTCTCAATCGCTGGGAATGTCAGGAGAACCTAGAGTGTAGAGTTAAGTGCCGGCAGCGTGGTGTGCTGTGTGTTTACTAGTTGTGTCTTTACGGGGGTTGAGCTTTGCTCTTTCGGCCCGCCTCTCAACTGTCAATCAACTGTTTTACTAACTATTTTTTTTTCCCCCACACCACACACACACACACCCCAGGAAGCAGCCCGTGACAGCTGACTAACTCCCAGGTACCTATTTGCTGCTAGGTAACAGGGGCATTCAGGGTGAAAGAAACTTTGCCCATTTGTTTCTGCCTCGTGCGGGAATCGAACCCGCGCCACAGAATTACGAATCCTGCGCGCTATCCACCAGGCTACGAGGCCCCGTGTGTGGGAAAACAGCTTGCCAGCAGGAGAGGAGATGGGTAAGTCCGATCTCGAGGATCCTGGTCCTGTGTACTCACCTATTTGTACTCACCTATTTGTGCTTGCGGGGGTTGATCTTTGGCTCTTTGGTCCAGCCTCTCAACTGTCAATCAACTGGTGTACAAATTTCTGAGCCTACTGGGCTCTATCATATCTACATTTAAAGCTGTGTATGGAGTCAGCCTCCACCACATCACTGCCTAATGCATTCCATCCGTTAACAACTCTGACACTAAAAAAAGGTCCTTCTAACGTCCCTGTGGCTCATGTGGGTACTCAGTTTCCACCTGTGTCCCCTTATTCGCGTCCCACCAGTGTTGAACAGTTTATCCTTGTTTACCCGGTCGATTCCCCTGAGGATTTTGTAGGTTGTGATCATGTCTCCCCTTACTCTTCTGTCTTCCAGTGTCGTAAGGTGCATTTCCCGCAGCCTTTCCTCTTAACTCATGCCTCTTAGTTCTGGGACTAGTCTAGTGGCATACCATTGGACTTTTTCCAGCTTTGTCTTGTGCTTGACAAGGTACGGGCTCCATGCTGGGGCCGCATACTCCAGGATTGGTCTTACATATGTGGTGTACAAGATTCTGAATGATTCCTTACACAGGTTCCTGAATGCTGTTCTGATGTTAGCCAGCCTCGCATATGCCGCAGACGTTATTCTTTTTATGTGGGCTTCAGGAGACAGGTTTGGTGTGATATCAACTCCTAGATCTTTCTCTCTGTCCGTTTCATTAAGTACTTCATCTCCTATTCTGTATCCTGTGTCTGGCCTCCTGTTTCCACTGTCTAGTTTCATTACTTTGCATTTACTCGGGTTGAACTTCAACAGCCATTTGTTGGACCATTCACTTAGTCTGTCTAGGTCATCTTGTAGCCTCCTACTATCGTCCTCAGTTTCAATCCTCCTCATAATTTTTGCATTATTGGCAAACATTGAGAGAAAAGATTCAATACCCTCTGGGAGATCATTTACAAATATCAGAAACAGTATAGGTTCCAGGACTGACCCTTGCGGGACTCCACTCGTAACGTCTCGCCAATCTAAGACCTCACCCCTCACACTGACTCGTTGTCTCCTGTTGCTTAGGTACTCCTTTATCCAATGGAGTACCTTCCCTTTACTCTAGCCTGCATCTACAGCTTTTTCACTAGCCTCTTGTGTGGCACTGTATCAAAGGCTTTCTGACAATCCACAAATATGCAGTCTGCCCACCCTTCTCTTTCTTGCCTTATTTTTGTTGCCTGGTCGTAGAATTCAAGTAACCCTGTGAGGCAGGACCTGTCATCCCTGAACCCATGTTGATGCTGTGTTACAAAGTTCTTTCGCTCCAGATGCTCCACTAGCTTTCTTCGCACAATCTTCTCCCATCAGCTTGCATAGTATGCAGGTTAGGGACACCGGCCTGTAATTCAGTGCCTCCTGTCTATCCCCTTTCTTGTATATCGGGACTACGTTAGCTGCTTTCCAAATTTCTGGCAGTTCCCCTGTTGCCAGTGATTTGTTATACACTATGGAGAGTGGTAGGCACAGTTCTTCTGCTCCTTCATTTTAGTATCCAAGGGGAGATTCCATCTGGGCCTATAGCCTTTGTCACATCCAACTCTAGTAAACACTTCCTTACTTCCCCACTGGTAATCTCAAACTCTTCCAGTGGTTCCTGGTTTGTTATTACCTCTCTTATCTCTGGAATTTCTCCTTGCTCTAAGGTGAAGACCTCCTGGAATTTCTTATTCAGTTCCTCACACACTTCCTTGTCGTTTGTAGTGAATCCTTCTGCCCCTATCCTTAATTTCATAACCTGTTCCTTTACTGTTGTTTTACTACTGATGTGGCTATGCAGCAATTTAGGCTGAGTCTTTGCCTTGCTTGCGATGTCCTTTTCGTATTGTCTTTCTGCCTCTCTTCTCATCCTGACATATTCATTTCTGACATTCTGGTATCTTTCTCTGCTCTCCAGTGTCCTGTTATTCCTATAGTTTCTCCATGCCCATTTACTTTGCTGCTTACCTAGCCTACATCTCTGATTAAACCATGGGTTTCTCATCTTCATTTCACTGTTTTCCTTTTGAACTGGGACAAACTTGTTTGCTGCGTCCTTGCACTTCTGCGTGATTATAGTCCATCATATCTTGGACCGTTTTTCCCCTGAGCTCGGTTTCCCATGATATTTCTGTTAGGAATTTTCTTCTCTACTCATAGTTTTCCTTTCGGTATGCTAACCTTTTCGTTTCGGTATCCCTCCTCGAGTTCAATAACCCTTCTTCAATCAGGTACTCAAACACCAGTACACTGTGGTCGCTCATTCCTACTGTGGCCTCAAAACCGATTTCTCTTATGTCGGAGTCTTTCAGAGTGAAGACCAGTTCGAGTCTCGCTGGTTCGTCATTTCCTCTCATCTTTGTGGGTTCTCTGACATGTTGGGTTAAAAAGTTTCTAGTCACCACCTCCAGTAGTTTGGCTCTCCACGTATCCTCGCCTCCATGCGGTTCCTTGTTCTCCCAGTCAATCCTTCCGTGAATGATGTCCACCATCATGAGCAGGTGGGATCTATTTCTATAGGCAGCAGAGGCTGCCCTCTCAATTATAGTGTGTGTGTGTGTGTGTGTGTGTGTGTGTGTGTGTGTGTGTGTGTGTGTGTGTGTGTGTGTGTGTGTGTGTGTGTGTGTGTGTGTGTGCGTGTGTGTGTGTGTGTGTGTGTGTGTGTGTGTGTGTGTGTGTGTGTGTGTGTGTGTGTGTGTGTGTGTGTGTGTGTGTGTGTGTGTGTGTGTGTGTGTGTGTGTGTGTGTGGTGTCCCGTCTTCCCAGCACTCTTTGTCATATAACGCTTTGAAACTACTGACGGTCTTGGCCTCCATCACCTTCTCACCTAACTTGTTCCAACCGTCTACCACTCTGTTTGCAAAAGTGAATTTTCTTATATTTCTTCGGCATCTGTGTTTAGATCTCAGGAAATCTTCCCTATCGAGTTTATCAATTCCTGTTACTATTTTGTATGTAGTGATCATATCATCTCTTTTTCTTCTGTCTTCCAGTTTTGGCATATTTAATGCCTGTAACCTCTCCTCGTAGCTTTTGCCCTTCAGTTCTTGGAGCCCCTTAGTAGCATGTCTTTGCACCTTTTCCAGTTTGTTGATGTGCTTCTTAAGATATGGGCACCACACAACCGCTGCATATTCTAGCTTTGGCCTAACAAAAGTCGTGAACAATTTCTTTAGTATATCGCCATCCATGTAGCAAAAAGCAATTCTGAAGTTAGAAAGCGTGGCATAGGCTCCTCGCACAATATTCTTTATGTGGTCCTCAGGTGATAGTTTTCTATCTAGAACCACCCCTAGATCTCTTTCTTTATCAGAATTCTTTAAAGATTTCTCACATAATATATAGGTTGTGTGGGGTCTATGTTCTCCTATTCCACATTCCATAACATGGCATTTATTAACATTAAATTCCATTTGCCAAGTGGTGCTCCAGATACTTATTTTGTCCAGGTCCTCTTGAAGGGCATGACAATCATCTAAGTTTCTTATCCTTCCTATTATCTTAGCATCATCAGCAAACATGTTCATATAATTCTGTATACCAACTGGTAGATCATTTATGTAGACAATAAACATCACTGGTGCAAGAACTGAACTCTGTGGTACTCCACTTGTGACATTTCTCCAGTCCGATACATTGCCTCTGATCACTGCCCTCATTTTTTTATCAGTCAGAAAATTTTTCATCCATGTTAGAAGCGTACCTGTCAGCCCTCCAATATTTTCCAGTTTCCAGAACAACCTCTTATGTGGAACTCTGTCAAAAGCCTTTTTTAGATCCAGATAGATACAGTCAACCCAACCATCCAATATTTTCCTATTTTTTTTTTCTTAGCCTCACTTATGCACAAGGTAATAACTAACCAGGAACCACTGGAAGAGTTTGAGATTACCAGCGGGGAAGTAAGGAAGTGTTTACTAGAGTTGGATGTGACAAAGGCTATAGGCCCAGACGGAATCTCCCCTTGGATACTAAAGGA